TAAATTTTGGTCAATGACATGAGACAAAGTATAGTATGTGAACTGCTGTATGAAAAGTGAATTTACTCTGTAAATCTTCACCCAAATCAAAATAAAATTTAAAAAAAATAATAATAATAATGGGTATTAACATTCCTTTGTAGTTCATATCCCGGTCATCATATGATGCTCTACTTTTAAAAATTACTATTTTGGGGTCCATAGATGGGAGCTCTGGTGGCGAAATGCCTAAGGCACTTGACTGCTAACCATAAGGCTGGTGGGTTTGGACCAGCCTTGAAAGGAAGACTGTGCAGTCTACTTCTGTAGAGATACTGCGTCCAAAACCCAAGGATGGGTTGCTATGAGTTGGATCCAACTCGAGGGCAGTGAGTTTGTTCTTTTTTTTTTTTTAAGATGGTGCAAACAATTAACACACTCAACTATGAACCAAAAGGTTAGAAGTTCAAGCCCACTCAGAAGCACCTTGGAAGAAAGGCCTGGTTATCCACTTCTAAAAATTCAGCCACTGAAAATCTTGTGAAGCACAGTTCTATTCTGACACACATGGCGTTACTTTGAGTAGAGTTGACTTGATAGCAACTCTTGTTGTTTCTAACTTCAGTCTTCTAACCTTTTCAAAAGTTTGGCTTTCAATCTTTAATTCTCCTTACTGTATTTAGGAGTTGCAGCCCTAGTGGCACAGTGGTTAAGTGCTATGCTGCTAACCAAACAATCAGCAGTTGGAACCCATCCACAGCTCTGTGGGTGAAAGCTGTGGCAGTCCACGCCCGTAAAGATTCACAGCCTTGGAAACCACAGAGGCATCTCTATTTTGTTCTACAAGGTTGCTATGTGTCTGAATCGACTCAACACAGTGAGTTTCTGGTTTTCATTGTATTTAGGACCATATACTCCCCAACCGTAAAAAGAGTAGAAAGGTCTCCAAATCCTGGCGTTTTCACAAGCCCCTCTCCTTCCAGCATCCATAAACTGAGGGTTCAATAACTTCTCATTGAAACTTAGTATTCTCTTCAATTATAAATGTAGATAACAAACCACAGTAGTATTCATAGCACCTGTGACAAAGTCATCAACAGAAAGCAGAGGTACTTTCAAAGAATATTAAAATTGCTCCAGATAACTTGAAATACTGTTTGTGCTTAACCCTGCTTCAAAGTTATAGTTATTAAACTTACTGCTATGTTGTATAATACACTGATAAATACTACTCAATAAAAAATTTGTTTTAATATTCTTATAATCACATTTCAATACAATTGGTTTCCTCTGCTATTCTATGTATTATATGTTATACATTTAAAAAAGCGTTTTTTGAGAAAGGCCCATAGGCTTCACCACTCCGGCAAAGGAGTCCATGGCACAAGAAAAGGTTAAGAACCCCTGCCTGCGTAGAAATTTTTCTGAGATGAAAAACTCCCAGAAGAAAAATGGAATGAAGAATATCATGGTTGCTTTTATGTTTTTAGAATCACGTTCATAACCAGTCTGCAATATAATCTAAGATTTCAGGGGGTTAAATTCTCAGTATTCTTACAAGAAAACGAGGAAAGTCATTTACTCCTCTTTAACAATAAACTAGAAAACTAGAAAATGAATCACGTCTTAGTTTGCTCATAAGGTTTTCTTCGCTGTAATCTGCATCGAAGCAGATCACCAGGCCTTCTTTTCCGTGATACTGCTAGGTGGGTCTACACCATCAATCCTTAGGTAAGTGGTGCAATGTCAACTGTTGGCAGCACCTAAGACTTGGAATCTACTGGACAGCAATGGGTTTGTGTTTTCTTTTTTTTTAGTTTATGTAACATGAACACAAGTAGTGTCAAAAAAAAAAAAAAAAGTAGGAGCCATGTAGCAACCAAATCTTGGTTTCTACTACTATTCCCCAATAAAAGGAACAAGGAAGGGCTCCTTGAAGCAATGGCTCATTCTAGGGCTGTTGTTGTTATGTGCCATCGAGTCAGCCCTGACTCATAGCGACCCCTCCTTGGGTTTCCAAGGCAGTTATCACTACAGAAGTAGGATTGTCCAATCTTCCTTCCGAGGAGTGGCTGGTGGGTTTGAACCGCCAGCCTTCTGGTTAGCAGTCAAGTGCCTTAGCCACTATGCTACCAGAGCTCCCCATTCTAGGGCGGGGGCAGAAAATATAGAAGGTGAGCCTGGAGAGAATAAAAAATTACCCCCTCCCAAAGTGGCACAGGAATCAACTGAAAGGGTTCCCATTGGCCAAAACTACATGCAGGGTACTGAGCAGTAAATATATAAAGTATAATTGGAGTCAGGTTTTTCACTGTCAAAGAAGGTAATTATAAATATGGAAAAAGAGAAAACTAGAATCAATCCTGTGGGTTGGAACTATTTGGAGATTCTGGTATAATGGTTTTCAGTAGATAGACTGGCAGACAGCCAGAAATAAATGTAAATGTATGCATATATATTTGCATATATACATAGACATATATTCCCTAGTTCTGTCTGCTGAGAGGGCCTGGGAACAATGAACAACCTAGTACTCAGATATTAGTTTCAATACCATTCTCCACAAAAGGAACCAGGACT